GCTCGCATGAAGCCTGAACAGTGCTTGGCTTGATGGCCAACAGAGCCTGGTGGGGAGCTGTGGCTCCCCCACAGGGGCTCCGTGCCCTCATTGAACATCAGTCTCATCCTCAGAGCCTCTTGGGACACAGCAGCCGTTCCTGGTCCTCATTGAGGGCTACCAAGGCTCCCAAGTTCTCCTTCGTCCAGCAGCTCCGTTGCTCTCAGCACTTGGGTTCTGACCCCTTGTGTTCCTCCACGTTCAGGCCTTTCCGGATCTCTCTCGGGGCTGTTGCATCTCTTCGGGGCCCCAGCGAGCTCTCTGCTGGGCACCCTCTCACCCTCTCTTGTGGCTTTTTTTGGCTTCTCTCTTTGGAACCCACTTCGCTCGGTGGCTTCGGCACCGGGAGCTGCTCCCCTCTTGGAGGCACGTGGAAGCGGAGGCTACGTGTGGTTGTGGCTGGATCTTGCTCTGGGCACCTTGAGCTCTCCCGGGGCTGAGGGAGAGGATGCTCCTTGCACTGGTCACTGCGGGTGGGGAGGAAGAGGAGGAGCGCTCCCAAGACCTGCAGGTGCTCTGCCTGTAGCTCATGGCTCTTTCCCATCCCGCTTCCAGGTGTGCCTCCGAGGGCCCATTCCCGGGATTCCGTGGACTCCGTGGATGGCCGTGCCACACCGACAGAGAATGCTTTGCCTGCAGCCCGCCCGGACAAACCCCCCTCGGTCCTTCCCTTCTTCAACCGCCCCCCCACTGCTTTGCCCCTTATGGGGCTGCCCCCTCCACCCATGCCACCGCCTCCCCCCTTGTCCTCCGGCTTCGGTGTCCCCCCGCCACCCCCCGGTATCCACTACCAGCATCTCATGCCCCCCCCGCCTCGACTGCCCCCACACCTCGCTGTGCCCCCCCCGGGGGCTGTCCCCCCTGCCCTGCACCTCAACCCTGCCTTCTTCCCCCCACCCAACGCGGCGCTGGGTCCTCCACCGGACACCTACGGCAAGGCCATGGCTCCCTACAACCACAGCAGGTGAGGGGGGGGTCTCAGTGGGGTACAAATGGGCTTGGGGGGGGGGATTTGCTGAACCCCCACTTGTCTCTTGTGCAGCCGGGAGCTGGGCCCTCCCCCGGCCCCAGTGACTGAAGGGGAGTTTGAGGAGATCATGAACAGGAACCGGGCCATCTCCAGCAGCGCCATCTCCAAGGCGGTGTCCGGTGCCAGCGCAGGTACCGGTGACCGTGTCCCCATGTCCCTGTGGGATTGCCCCCCCCTTGTCCCATGTTGGGTTTGCCCCCCCTCAACCCTGCTCTGTGTCGTGTCATTCCCCCCCCCCCCCCCAGGTGACTACAGCGACGCCATCGAGACCCTGCTCACGGCCATCGCCGTCATCAAACAGTCCCGCGTGGCCAGCGACGAGCGGTGCCGCGTCCTCCTCTCGTCCCTCAAGGACTGCCTGCACGGCATCGAGGCCAAGTCCTACAGCACCGGCGCCAGCAGCAGCTCCTCCAGGTAACCCCAGGCTGGGAGCTGCCGTGGGGTTGGCTTCGTTGCATCCCGTTGTGGAATGGGTCGGGATGAAGGGAGCTTCAAGCTCATCCAGCTCCAACCCCGACACCTTCCACCGGAGCAGCTTGCTCCAAGCCCCTGTGTCCTTGAACACTGCCAGGGATGGGGCAGCCACAGCTTCTCTGGGCACCCTGTGCCAGCGCCTCAGCACCCTCAGAGTGAAGAATGAATTCCTTACATCCAGTCTGAACCCATCACCCCTTGTCCCATCACTCCAGTCCCTAATGAAGAGTCCCTCTCCAGCATCCTTATAGCCCCCTTCAGACACTGGAAGCTGCTCTGAGGTCTCCACGCAGCTTCTCTTCTCCAGGCTCAACAGCCCCAATGTTCCCAACCTGGCTCCATATGGGAGCTGCTCCAGCCCCTGAGCATCCTCGTGGCCTCCTCTGGCGTTGCTCCAACAGCTCCGTGTCCTCCGGTTGCTGAGGACACCACAACTGCGCACACCAGAAGTCCTTTTCCTTCCTCTTTTCCCAGGAAAAGGCACCGATCCCGGGAGCGCTCCCCCAGCCGGTCCCGTGAAAGCAGCCGGCGGCACCGGGACGTGCTCCACAGCGAGGACCGGCACGAGGACTACTTCCAGGAGCGGAACCGGGAGCACGAGCGGCATCGGGACAGGGACAGAGAGAGGGACCGGCACCACTGAGACAGGTGAGGGGTATCCCCGAGGTGCTGGGAATCATCATGGGATGGGTTGGGATGAAGGGAGCTTAAAGCTCCTCCAGCTCCAACCCCAACCCCTTCCACCGGACCAGCTTGCTCCAAGCCCCTGTGTCCAACCTGGCCTTGAACACTGCCAGGGATGGGGCAGCCACAGCTTCTCTGGGCACCCTGTGCCAGTGCCTCAGCACCCTCCCAGGGAAGAGCTTCTGCCTCAGAGCTCATCTCAGTCTCCCCTCGGGCAGGTTCAAGCCATTCCCCTTGGCCTGTCCCTACATCCCTTGTCCCAAGCCCCTCTCCAGGTTTCCTGCAGCCCCTTCAGGCACTGGAGCTGCTCTCAGGTCTCCCCTTCAGGAGCCTTCTCTTCCCCAGGCTGCCCCAGCCCAGCTCTCTCAGCCTGGCTCCAGAGCAGAGCTGCTCCAGCTCCCTTATATCTCCACGGCCTCCTTCAGACTCCCTCCAACACCTCCATCCACATCCCCCTTACACTGGGGATCCCACAGCATCGTAGAATGGGTTGGGATGAAGGGACCTTAAAGCTCATCCAGCTCCAACCCCTTCCACTGGAGCAGCTTGCTCCAAGCCCCTGTGTCCAACCTGGCCTTGAGCACTCTCCCATCTCCCCTCTGGCAGGGTAAAGCCATCCCCCTGGTCCTTGTTGGCCCCCCAAGGGTTGCCCTGACCCCTCTGCTCCTCTTCCCCACAGGAATTTGGCAGGAAGTGGTTTTTAATGGACTCGTATCTCCTCCCCTCGACGAGGCTGCTCCACCCTCTCACCCCATCCCAGGCCCCCCCCTAGCTCCCTCCGGACATCCCAGGAAAGCCGTGGAGCACGCCAGCAGCCGGGCCTCCCACCGGACACCTCGTGGCCTTGGAGCCGGAGCCCCTGCTCCCTGCTGCTTCCCAGAGGGAATGCCAGCACCCGGCTCAGCCCGCTCTGCTCCACGGATACTCGGACCCAAAGAGAAATGGTGCTTTTCCTTCCACGGAGGGAGGGCGGTGAGGCCGTGCTGGGAAGGGGATGGATCCTTCCCAAGGCTGCACGGATCCCGCTCCGTGCTTGGGGTTGCTGGAAGCGGTACCAGGGGCTCCCCAGCCTCCTGCCCCCCTCCTGTGGGGATGCTCGTGTCCCCATTGCCCCGCAGTGCCAGCACAGGCCCCCATGCTGCTCCTTTTCCCCTTTATCCTCCCTGCTCAGCCCAGGAGGGCTGGAGCAGAGCTGGGGCTCACCCCTTCCCTCTGCCCCACATTCCAGGGCTCTCCTGCAGCACCTTCCTTGTTTTAGAGGAAGAGGAGGCAGCAGGGCAGGATGCAACCCCCCCCCCCCATATGCTTATCCCTGGGGATGCTCTCCCCAACCACCCTTCCAGGGGGCACAATGGCAGGGGGGTGTTCCCCATGCTCAAGGGGGCTGCACCTCTCCAGGCCGGGTGGGATCCCAAGGGAAGCACCCACAAAGGGTCGGGTTGAGCTGAGGAGACAAGGGGCAACTTCCAGAGCTGGTGGCTCCCCCCCCCCCCCTCACCTCCAAACTGTCGCTGGCCAAGGAGCAAACCTGCCTCTGGAGGGCTTTTTAAGTTGAAATGAGCCCCAAAGAGCCTGAACCCCCCCCCGGGGAGGTGCCAGGAGGCTTCCGGATGGATTTTCTTTTCTACTTAATGCCACATTTTTAGGTTTCTTTGCAAATAGTGGAGGGAGGGGGGGGGGGGGACACAAAGAAGACGAGTGCAGAGCAAGACCCCCCCCGGAGGCAGTGCCCCTCCTGCCCGCAGTGAGTAGAGAGATTTGGTTTGTCTTTCTGATAGGTTGGACGTTGTGTAATAAAACTTGGCTGACGTTGTCAATCTTTTAGATGGTGCTGGAGGGCTCTTCCCTTGGTGTCCGGTGTGGAAGCGGGGAATGGGTTGGGTTGGAAGGGACCTTAAAGCTCATCCAGGTCTAACCCCCTGCACGTGGGCAGGGATGCCTTCCACTGGAGCAGCTTGCTCCAAGCCCCTGTGGACTTGAACACTGCTGGGGATGGGGCAGCCACAGCTTCTCTGGGCACCCTGTGCCAGCGCCTCAGCACCCTCATAGTGAAGAATGAATTCCTTACATCCAAGCTGGATCCCCCCTGTTTCAGTTGGAACCCCATCACCCCTTGTACTGTCACTGCAGTCCCTAATGAACAGTCCCTTTCCAGCATCCTTGTAGCCCCCTTCAGACACTGGAAGCTGCTCTGAGGTCTCCACGCAGCTTCTCTTCTCCAGGCTGAACAGCCCCAGTGTTCCCAGCCTGGCTCCATATGGGAGCTGCTCCAGTCCCTGAGCATCCTCGTGGCCTTCTCTGGCCTTGTTCCAACAGTTCCATGTCCTTTTTATGTTGAGGACCCCAGAACTGCACACAATGCTCCAGGTGAGGTCTCACGAGAGCAGAGCAGAGGGGCAGGATCACCTCCTTGGACCTGCTGGTCACGCTGCCATTGATGCAGCCCAGGACATGGTTGGTTTCTGGGCTGCAAGTGCACACTAAACCCCACTCATGTTCAGTTTCTCATCACCCAACACCCCCAAGTCCTCCTCAGGCTGCACTCCATCTCTTCTCTGTTCATCCTGCCTCTGTGCCTGGGGTTGCCCTGACCCAGGTGTAGGACCTTGCATTGCCTATGAGGTGTTGGAAGTGATAAAGAGGGGGTTGGAGTGGTTTAGGGGTGGTTGGGGACTGATGGGCCACTGCTGAGGGGCTTTTCTGCCCCTCAAAGCAGCAGTGGGGGGTGCCCGGGGTTGGGGGGGGGGGGAACCCCAAGTGCTCAGGCACCAGGTAAAAATAAATATTTATTGGAAAAGAGGGAATTCTTGTGAGAAGGTAGCAAAAAAAAATAGGAATTCTCTGTACCTGGAGCTGCCGTGCACGTCCTGGGGGGCAGCAGGGAGGGGGCTGCCTCGCAGGTCACTCCTGGCCGATGGGGAGACACCCAACCGGGGGGGTGCTGAGCACCCAGTGCCTCCTGTACCTGGTCCTTTGGCGTGGCACAGGGCCTCAGTATGAATCCGCGCTGTAAGAGAAGGGGAAGAAAGAGGGATGGAGGAGTGCCAAAGCAGCTTGGAAGTCCGGCATTCCATAGGGAACGGCCTGGGAAAGATACCTGGAGAAGGAGAGGAGCGCCAGGACAGCCAGCAGCAGCTCCAGGGCATAGAAGAGGAGGAGGATGGCGTTGAGGATGGCTTCCAGGCGCAGGGCATAGGTCTGCAGCAGCAGGTAATAGGTGGCCATCACAGCTGCCGGCACCGTCAGTGCCAGGCTGATGCAGAGGGGAACCTTCCGCTGGCACAGGTTGCCCTTGGAGCCTGGGGTGGGGATGGGAAGTGGGATGGGGGGGGGGGGGGTGCTTGTGGGTCCCATCGGTTCCTGGAGCTTGGTGTCACCAGGACTTAGACGCATGGGATGGGTTGGGATGAAGGGAGCTTAAAGCTCATCCAGCTCCAACCCCAACCCCTTCCACTGGAGCAGGGTGCTCCAAGCCCCTGTGGCCTTGAGCACTGCCAGGGATGGGGCAGCCACAGCTTCTCTGGGCACCCTGTGCCAGCGCCTCAGCACCCTCCCAGGGAAGAGCTTCTGCCTCAGAGCTCAGCTCAGTCTCCCCTCGGGCAGGTTCAAGCCATTCCCTTTGTCCTCTCCCTCCAGGCCCTTGCCCTAAGCACTCACCGAAGAAGATGCGCGTCGCCTCAGTGCCGAGGTAGAGGAAGAGCAGCACCACGTCCAGCGCCAGGTTGGTGAAGGGATAGGGCAGCAGCAGCACTGCGGGCACAGCCACGGCTGCCTCAGAGCTCACCCCCCGCAGGGGCCGGTACCCGGTACCCGCGGTGCGCTCAAGGGGTACCGGGGGTGATGGGGAGGGGTGCTCACCCTTGTACACGAAGATGAAGGCCTCCAGCAGGAAGTAGGTCGCGCTGTACCAGCCGTTGAGGAAGAGCAGGACCTGCAGCGGGGCCGAGGAGCGCTGGCGGCCTGCGGGGACAACGCGGCTGTGGGCGGGCTCCGGGGGGGGAGGCACCGAGCCCCGGTCCCTCCCGGCCCCCCCTCCCCGCCATCGCCGCCGGCCGCGGTCCCTCACTCACTCCTGGGCGCCATCTTCCGTCTCCATGGGAACCGCCGCCGGCCTCGCCCGCTCCTTCCGCCCTCTCTATGGTCCCGGAGGACTGAGCCGGGAGGACACGGGTTCGAGACCCGCAGCCGGCAATGGGGCACGGTGAAAGGTATGGGGCGGGGGGGGAGCCCGGTGTTCCCCCCCAAACACACACACACGGGTTGAGCCGCGGTTCTCTCCGCTGCACCGTGGGCACTGCCCCGTGAGCGGGCTGGAAACGCAGCGAGGAGCTGGGGGAAGGATGTTGGGGTGCAGAGAGTGAATGGGAGGGAATCATGGAATAATTAGGGTTGGAAAGGACCTTAAGATCATCTAGTTCCAACCCCCCTGAAGAGCCCGGGGGGTGGGGGGGGGGTCAGCGTTGGAAAACACAGCTCATTTATTTCTTTACTGGTTACAAAAGCACTGGAGTCCCAAACCGAGGGATGCGGCTCCATCCTGACGCACAGTGGGATGGAGATGAGCCTCCCGCTGGCTCCTAGCATCCACCTGAGGTGCTGGTAGCAGTGAGGAAGAAGAGGCTGAGGTGGAGCTGTCCGCAGTGGGGGCCAGGAGGTGATGAAGAGCTGGAGGGGAACCGTCAGCCACGGAACTGCTCAAACTCCTTGCGCAGCCACAGGGAGTCCTGGTAGAAGAGGGGGTCCCCCAGGTGCACCGCGGTCCTCTTGTAGAAGTAGCAGTAGAGCACGGCCGCTGCGGGAGGGAGGGAGAGGGATGTGAAGGTGGGCAGCCCCAGGGGCACCCCAAAAGCAGCAGGGCCCCAGCAGGGCTCCTGTGAGCCCCAGCCCTTACCCAGGCGCTGGAACACGAAGAGGGTCTGCAGGCCTTCGGTCCACACGAAGCGGCTGGAGTCGCGCCAGCGCAGGTTCTGAGCACAGACAGGAGTCAGAGGCATGGGATGGGTTGGGATGAAGGGAGCTTAAAGTTCATCCAGCTCCAACCCCAACCCCTTCCACCGGAGCAGCTTGCTCCAAGTCCCTGTGGCCTTGAGCACTGCCAGGGATGGGGCAGCCACAGCTTCTCTGGGCACCCTGTGCCAGCGCCTCAGCACCCTCCCAGGGAAGAGCTTCTGCCTAAGAGCTCATCTCAGTCTCCCCTCGGGCAGGTTCAAGCCATTCCCCTTGTCCTGTCCCTACATCCCTTGTCCCAAGCCCCTCTCCAGGTTTCCTGCAGCCCCTTCAGGCACTGGAGCTGCTCTCAGGTCTCCCCTTCAGGAGCCTTCTCTTGTCCAGGCTGCCCCAGCCCAGCTCTCTCAGCCTGGCTCCAGAGCAGAGCTGCTCCAGCCCTCGCAGCAGCTCCATCACTTTGGGGGCACTCCCACCCCAAAGGTTAAGCAGCTCAGGGGATTTAGCCAACAAGCCAGGACCTATTCCTGCTTCAGATCCCTGCAAATCCCCTGTCAATCCCCTGCCTGGGGGGTGTGGGCAGCACCAACATAACCGCTCCGGCCCCCAGGGGAATGGGGTGAGGAGAGACCCTCACCCTGAGGATGGAGGGGGATGAGACCCCATGGAGGAGGATGCCCAGGGGCTGGGCAGGGTGTGGGGCTGCTTCTTCAGGGGATGGGGATAAGAGGGAGTTTATTGGGGACGAAAAGGTGAAGATGCTGCCTCAACAGAGCCAGGACCCCCTGAGAGCCCTCAGGGCTGTCCAGTGCCAGCAGTGACGTGGCTGTGCCCAGGCTCTGAGCGCTGGTGTTTGCTGGGGATTAATCCCAGGTAAAGCAGGAGCTGCTGTCCCAGCCCTCAGCAGGGATTATCCCGTGCCAGCACGGAGCTGGAGCTGCTTTCCCTGGGGGAAAGAGGATTTTCCAGCCTTTAGGAAAGGGGTTGGGATGGGGCAGCTCCTTCCTTCCAGCCTGATGCCAATGGGGGGCCACCAAACTGTCCCTGCTGGGTGGACGATGGTCTTCCTCTCATGGAAGAGGGGCTGAAGGAGGGAGCAAAGGGTTGTGCTGGCCACCCTCAGGAGGAATCAGCGGCCCCAACCTACCATAACCCACACGTGGAAGGAGATGCTGAGCCCCAGGTAGGCTGCAGACAGCAGGATGGTGCCCTTGAACTTGTGGAAGAGGAGATTGACCAGCCCAGCCTGGAAGACGAAGGTGTTGAAGAACATGAGGAAGATGATGATGACGTTGAAGAGAATAGCAATGTCCTGGATGCTGCAGGAGGAGAGAAACGGGGTGAGATCCCACCCTTCCTCTCCCACCATGGTGGTCACAGCCCCCTGGGGGCACTCACATGAACAGGACGAGCTGGACAGCAGGAGCCGTGCGGAGCAGCTCCGAGAAGGAGTTGACAAAGAGGTCGTAGAAGAGGAGCAGGAACTGCAGGAACAGCACCAGGGTGTAGTTGCTGGTCTGGAGCATCTTCCTTCCCTTGGTGTTGGGGCTCTCAGCTCCAGCGTCCCCAGAGGCAAAGGCAGCTCATGGCGTGGAGCTGAGGGGTTCAGTGTTGCTCGTTTCCATTGCCAGGACCTGGAGGGGGAGCAGAGGTTTGATTTGGCAGCATGGGATGAAGCCCTGGGCTGTGTCCCCCCTCCTTTCTCCCCATGCAGCAGGTTCAGATTCACCCCTACAATCAACCAGGCTGGAAAAGGCCTTAAAGATCAGCAGCCCCAGCCCTGCCAAGGCCACCATAACCCATGGCACTGAGGGCCTTGTCTATAGGGTCTGGGAGCACTTGCAGGGCCGGTGCCCTGGGCAGCCTGTTCCAATGCCTGAGCACCCTCTGGGGCAGGAATTGTTCCGCAGCTCCATCTAAACCTGCCCTGGGGCAGCTTGAGGCCGTTTCCTCTTGTCCCATCCCTTGTTCCTTGGGAGCAGAGCCCAGCCCCTCCTGGCTCCATCCTCCTCTCAGGCACTTGGAGGCAGCCATCAGGTCCCCCCTGAGCCTTCTCTTCTCCACACTGAACCCCCCAGGTCCCTCAGCCCTTCCCCATCACACTTGGGCTCCAGGCCCTGCACCAGCTCCGTTGCCCTTCTCTGTCCCCATTCCAGCACCTCAAGGTCTCTCTTGCAGTGAGGGGCCCGGAGCTGAGCACAGGATTCGAGGTGCAGCCTCCCCAGTCCCATTCCCCCCCGGCCCTTCCAGCCCCAAGGCCCATGGGTGAGTCCCAGGGAGCAGACCCATGCCGGGGTTCAGGCCCCCGGGGCCAGCGCTGAGCAGGCCACGCTGTGGGGACAGGCTTGGACAAGCGGTGCCTCCTGGAACCCGCACCCAGCCCTGGGGCGGCTCCGAGGCCGCACGGGGCCCAACCCTCCCTGCGCACCGCTGACAAAGGAGGGACGTGGAGCACGGGCAGGTAACGGGGGCGCTGGGGGCAATGTGGGGTGCAGCGCCCCTTGTCCTGGCACCCATAGGGCTGGGATGGGGGGGGGGGAAGGGGACAACCACCCCTTTACACAGCCCCAACACCGATGTGCCCCCCTCTTCTCCCCTCACCCCCCCCCCCACCCGGCGGACCTCCTTTACCAGGTCCTAAGGAGGCCTCAGCCCCACCGGACACCCCCCGAACCCCCCGTTCTCCACCGAGAGCGGGCTCCCCGCTCAACGGAGCGCAGACACCGGTAGTGCCGGGGCTGTGGGTGCCGCTGTGTTCCCCCCTTGTCCCTTCCTGTCCCCTCATACCCCCTCTATGTCCCCGCATCGCACCGCGGCCCGGCGCTGACCTGCAGCCGCCATCTTCCGTCTCCACGGCAACGGCGCGGCCACCGAGAGGGAGGCGGAAGTGCGTGGCTAGAAGGGCCGCGCTGGGGCCGCGCTGGGGCCGCTCTGGCCGCCGCTCTCGCTGATCACCGGGGGCATTGGAGGCTTGGGCTCGGCGCCACCACCGGGGCGAGCGGCGCCGGCCACGATGGAGGCGGCCGGAGGGGCCGAGGGGGCGAGGTACGGCCCCGGTACCGGGGGGAGCCGTGGGGCAGGGCCCTGTGTGCCCGGTGTGATAGGAGCCATGGGGCCGGCGCTGAGCCCCATGCTCTGGGGGTGCCATGGGGCAGCCATGGGGCCAGGCCTGATCCCCATGCTCTGTGGGTGCCATGGGGCCAATCCCGATCCCCATGCTCTGTGGGTGCCATGGGGCCAATCCCGATCCCCATGCTCTGTGGGTGCCATGGGGCAGCCATGAGGCCAGGCCCGATCCCCACGCTCTGTGGGTGCCATGGGGCCAGGCCCGATCTCCATGCTCTATGGGTGCCATGGGGCCAGGCCCGATCCCCATGCTCTGTGGGTGCCATGGGGCAGCCATGGGGCCAGGCCCAGTCCCCATGCTCTGTGGGTGCCATGGGGCAGCCATGGGGCCAGGCCCAGTCCCCATGCTCTTTGGGTGCCATGGGGCAGCGCCCAATCCCCATGCTCTGTGGGTGCCATGGGGCAGCCATGGGGCCGGGGCCAGGCCCAGTCCCCATGCTCTTTGGGTGCCATGGGGCAGTGCCCGATCCCCATGCTCTATGGGTGCCATGGGGCCAATCCCGATCCCCACGCTCTGTGGGTGCCATGGGGCCAGGCCCGATCCCCATGCTCTGTGGGTGCCATGGGGCAGCCATGGGGCCAGGCCCAGTCCCCATGCTCTGTGGGTGCCATGGGGCAGCCATGGGGCCAGGCCCAGTCCCCATGCTCTGTGGGTGCCATGGGGCAGCCATGGGGCCAGGCCCAGTCCCCATGCTCTTTGGGTGCCATGGGGCAGCGCCCGATCCCCATGCTCTATGGGTGCCATGGGGCCAATCCCGATCCTCATACTCTGTGGGTTCCATGGGGCCAGCCCCGACCCCCATGCTCTGTGGGTGCCATGGGGCAGCTCAGCACCGCGGTGCCCACTGCAGTACCTCAAGCAATGAGTGTCCGAGCTCCGGATCCCCCCACACAACCCCGGCTCTGGGGCCGTGTCCCACCCTCGTGGGGCGGCCGCTGTGGGGCAGGACGGGGCCGTCCCCGCCCCGGGCCGGGCCAGAAATAGCCATTGCTGGAGGCAGATGCAAATCCGCAGGCAAATGAGCTCAGCCTCACGCTTGGAGCCCCACAGGCTGAGGGCAGGAGCCTGCCGGGGCCGTCCATAGCGCAGGTACCACGATGGGTGCTGCCCGTGGGTCCCCCTTTAACCCTATGGGGCGAGGGGTGATGCTGGGGGCCTTGCTTCCAGTTGGGGTGAGCCCTATGGTGGGGATGGGGTTCACCCCATTAGGGTGCAGCTTGGGGGGGGTGGGGGTGTTGGGAGAGAGTTGGAAGGGGTTTGGGGGTGTGGAGAGGGAGGGGATCACATCAATGGGGTCCTGAGGACAGTGGGGGGGGTACAGGAGAGACCCTTAATGGGCTGCCCTCATCCTGCATGGGCCCTGCCATCCCTCCCAGTGCAGGCACCAGCTGGGCTGGACCCCCCCCCCCCTTGTGGTCCTCAGTTCCCCTTTGAGCCTGGCTCCTCCCTGGGATGGGGCAGGAGGGGGGACCCCAAGCACAGACCTGAGCCGTTGCCTTGCTCTTCCCTAGGTGCCCCCATCGCATTGTGGAGATGCTGGATGTGCCCTTCCTGCCTTTCTGCCTCCTCCTGGGCCTCCTGGGCTTCGTGTGCGTGGCCTTTGTGAGCTCCTGGTGCCAGTACTGGCGGGGGGGCTTCGCCTGGGACGGCAGCGCCCGGATGTTCAACTGGCACCCGGTGCTCATGGTGACGGCCATGGTGGTGCTCTATGGGGCAGGTAAGCAGGGTGCGGAGGGGGCTGCGGAGCCAGCGCGGCGCCTGCCTCACCTCCTCGTCCCGCAGCATCCCTGGTTTATCGCCTGCCCGCATCCTGGAGCGGTCCCAAGCTGCCCTGGAAGGTGCTGCACAGCTCCCTGGCCCTGGCAGCCCTCGCCTTGGCAGCGCTGGGCTTGGTGGCCGTCTTCCGCTTCCACAACGAGCACGGCACCCCCAACATGTACTCACTGCACAGCTGGCTGGGCATGGCCACCATCCTGCTCTTCTCCTGTCAGGTGGGTGCTGGTCCTGCTCCCTGCGCTCCCCATCCTCACTTCCCTCCCTGCAGTGCCTGGCTGGGCATGGCCACCATCCTGCTCTCCTGTCAGTGAGTGCTGGTCCTGCTCCCTGCATCCCAGCTCCATGCACTCCCCATCCTCACTTCCCTCCCCACAGTGCCTGGCTGGGTTCAGCACCATCCTGCTCTCCTGTCAGTGAGTGCTGGTCCTGCTCCCTGCATCCCAGCTCCATGCACTCCCCATCCTCACTTCCCTCCCCACAGTGCCTGGCTGGGTTCAGCACCATCCTGCTCTTCTCCTCTCAGTGAGTGCTGGTCCTGCTCCATGCACTCCCCATCCTCACTTCCCTCCCCACAGTGCCTGGCTGGGTTCAGCACCATCCTGCTCTTCTCCTCTCAGTGAGTGCTGGTCCTGCTCCATGCACTCCCCATCCTCACTTCCCTCCCCGCAGTGCCTGGCTGGGTTCAGCACCATCCTGCTCTTCTCCTCTCAGTGAGTGCTGGTCCTGCTCCCTGCATCCCAGCTCCATGCGCTCCCCATCCTCACTTCCCTCCCTGCAGTGCCTGGCTGGGTTCAGCACCATCCTGCTCTCCTGTCAGTGAGTGCTGGTCCTGCTCCATGCACTCCCCATCCTCACTTCCCTCCCCACAGTGCCTGGCTGGGTTCAGCACCATCCTGCTCTTCTCTTCTCTCAGTGAGTGCTGGTCCTGCTCCCTGCGCTCCCCATCCTCACTTCCCTCCCTGCAGTGCCTGGCTGGGTTCAGCACCATCCTGCTCTTCTCCTCTCAGTGAGTGCTGGTCCTGCTCCATGCACTCCCCATCCTCACTTCCCTCCCCGCAGTGCCTGGCTGGGTTCAGCACCATCCTGCTCTCCTGTCAGTGAGTGCTGGTCCTGCTCCCTGCATCCCAGCTCCATGCGCTCCCCATCCTCACTTCCCTCCCTGCAGTGCCTGGCTGGGTTCAGCACCATCCTGCTCTTCTCCTCTCAGTGAGTGCTGGTCCTGCTCCCTGCATCCCAGCTCCATGCGCTCCCCATCCTCACTTCCCTCCCTGCAGTGCCTGGCTGGGTTCAGCACCATCCTGCTCTCCTGTCAGTGAGTGCTGGTCCTGCTCCATGCACTCCTCATCCTCACTTCCCTCCCCGCAGTGCCTGGCTGGGTTCAGCACCATCCTGCTCTTCTCCTCTCAGTGAGTGCTGGTCCTGCTCCCTGCATCCCAGCTCCATGCACTCCTCATCCTCACTTCCCTCGCTGCAGTGCCTGGCTGGGTTCAGCACCATCCTGCTCTCCTGTCAGTGAGTGCTGGTCCTGCTCCATGCACTCCCCATCCTCACCTCCCTCCCTGCAGTGGCTGGCTGGGTTCAGCACCATCCTGCTCTCCTGTCAGTGAGTGCTGGTCCTGCTCCATGCACTCCTCATCCTCACTTCCCTCCCCGCAGTGCCTGGCTGGGTTCAGCACCATCCTGCTCTTCTCCTCTCAGTGAGTGCTGGTCCTGCTCCCTGCATCCCAGCTCCATGCACTCCCCATCCTCACTTCCCTCCCCGCAGTGCCTGGCTGGGTTCAGCACCATCCTGCTCTTCTCCTCTCAGTGAGTGCTGGTCCTGCTCCATGCACTCCCCATCCTCACTTCCCTCCCCACAGTGCCTGGCTGGGTTCAGCACCATCCTGCTCTTCTCCTCTCAGTGAGTGCTGGTCCTGCTCCATGCACTCCCCATCCTCACTTCCCTCCCTGCAGTGGCTGGCTGGGTTCAGCACCTTCCTGCTGCCCTGGGCTCCCTCCTGGCTCCGGGGGCTCTACAAGCCCGTCCACGTCTTCTTTGGCTCCACCATCCTGCTGCTGGCCGTGGCCTCCTGCGTGTCGGGCATCAACGAGAAGCTCTTCTTCAGCCTGTGAGCATCGCGTGCGGTGGGGAGCAAGCAGGCTTTGGGCTCCGAGTAGCCCAGAGTGAACCCAAGCCCTGGGGGCAAAGGGAAAGGGGTGATGCCCCCTCCGCTCCCTGCTGCAGGGGTTGTGTGGGCTTAGAGGGGGAGGTTGGGCACATCCAGGACAGCTCTGGGCTCCTTTCTCCCCCCCAAGGAAGAACGGGACAGCGCAGTACAAGCTCCTGCCTGCTGAGGCCGTCTTTGCCAACACCCTGGGGCTCCTCATCCTGCTCTTTGGGGTGCTGGTGCTGGGTGCCCTGGCCCGGCCGAGCTGGAAGCGCCCTGATGCTGACTGCCCGGACTCCCGTCAGGTACCGGCTCTGCTGTGGGGTGGCTTTGGGGGTCCTGCTTCCCCCCCAAGCTGTCCCTGTGTGGGGAGGGATGTGGGGCTCAGCCGTGTCCTCCCCACAGCCACTGCTCGCCGCTGAGCGTTGATGCCAATGGAGCAGCCAAGGTCTCTCCCTGCCGTTCCTGGGCTCTTTGGATCCCATCACTTCCCTGCCTGCTGTGCTGGAGCAACCGAGGTCTCTTCTCTGCCATTCCCGAGCTGTGGAAGCCCATCACTTCCCTGCCTGCACTGCTGGAGCAGCCGAGGTCTATCCCTGCCCTTCCCGAGCTTTGGATCCATCGCTTCCCTGCTTACTCTGCTGGAGCAGCTGAGGTCTCTCCCTGCCATTCCCGGGATCCCAGCACTGAGATTTGGATCCCAGCTCTTCCCTGCTGGCCCTGCTCGTGGCCATCACCTTGTCCTCACCCAGGAGCCTGCACCCAACGCTCCCAAATCCATGGGAGGAACACGCTCAGCTGCCCCGCAGGAGATGCTGCTGCTGTGAGGACATCTCTTTGCCTCCTTTGTGGCCTGGGGCAGGATGAGGGCAGCCACAGG